AGCGACATGGAAGAAAGACTCGACAGCTAAATGTCCGGGTGCATGGTAAGAACACACGATGGCTCGATATGAGAGTTCTCTGGGTTGTGTTCCTAACACGACTTTGCTCTCGTGGTGTTCTCAATGGCGCGTTTGTAGGAACTGGACGTCAGTGACATGACCTTGTGCAAGAAATGATGTCACTTCTTTATAAAAGGTCAGAGGTATCGGTAAATTGATGAATGTAACGATTTATTTTCACTATCATAGATATAGAATAAAACAAGGTATGATATTGAATAAATAGGTTATATTTTCGTTTAAGTGAAACTAAGATATGTTTATGATCTAGGCGAAGAAGAACCCGTTATCTGTATTAGGGTTACAATTGTCTTATATTATAGATGACGTTTCCATTTAGATGCACACGGCACCAAACTAAATAATGCAAAAAGTACGTTACGGAAATACAGCGCACAGTTCAAGTTGGCAAGACTGTGGGCTCAATAAACCCTTTAACCCCTCATAGTGACTAGCATTTCATTTCTCCTTACAATATCACCCTTGATTTAAGCATTAAGGTCAGGAGAACAAAGGAAATGATCACCAACTAAAGAAGCTTTTTGATTGTTAAACAAATTCTCCATGTCAACAGCGTAGGAGGTATGGAGAACAGTATGGAGAATATGCATACTGATGTTAGGTTCCAAAGGGTTAACAACCGCTTTTTGAGAATTGAGCCCGCTGTGGGTGATAGATTCTGGTTCTAGGAAACTTTAACGCCACACAACCGAAACGTTTTACTATGTATGGTTCCGCGGTTGTTCAAGTCCGATTGACAAAAGAAAAAATAACTTTCACCAATACATGCGAAAGAAGGAAACATGAAACATGAAACATGATCATTAAGAATTAGTTTCCCTTTGATCTTTATGAGCAGCCCCGCCTAGCTTTTCAGGCCTTATGAGTGCGAACAAAAAATCGCCGCGCAAAAATTGGAAACAGGAGTCACCCTGTCCTCATTTACCGCCCCACACACCATGTCTTTGCGCGGCTTCTTTTCGCTCGTTCATTTTCTTCTTTTGATTTGAGTTCAATGGATGTTTTAACATTATTGAAACGTGAAAGTGTCAATTGCTCATTTCTTGGTTGAAAGTCGTTTCGTGCAATGTGCACTAAATCAGCTGCGACGTATTCATGATAAATGAGATATTGCACGTCGAAGTTACATGGTAACTAATTGCACAATTTTCAGATGACTGTTCAAAGTGGCAAGGATATGCGTCGAGTTCGTTTCTACCGATCCGACCAAACTCAAAAGAAAAAAACGAACTCAACGATTTCAAATGCAACAATTGAGCAAGAATGCTTTTGATCTGTGCAGGAAACGAAGTCATGACAATTTAAGGTGCATAGTATCTTCGCTTTGTCTTCATGTTCTATCTGTCACGCAAGGCTACGCTCTTTCCCGACAAGCGTAACGTTGCGTGACACAGAAAAGGTCATAACTATAGCCCGGCTCAAACGTAGTAAATCCCTGCTTTGGCTTTCAAACAGTCTTAAGAAAATCATTATTTTATCAAAAAATGAATTAAAAAACCACAGTTAAAAACTCGATTATCCCATCAGTATTTCTACCCTTTGCTTCAGCATCGTAACCCCATCCCATAGTCTAATTGTTACATAATTTTAAAAAAGTAACAAATAAAAACATTTTGACCGCATCAATATTCGAAGAAGTACGTTAAACAAGTGTACTTGTGGAAAGGCTTAATCCTAAAAAATCTCTCTTAGTTCCCCCGTCAGGAGTCTTGTTGATTTGGCATACACTACTCGCGCCTAAAAGAAAAGAGTACCCTTAGTTTGTTCCTCCCGTCGCCGAAAAATCCAGTCTGACTTTGTGATTTTGTTTTCCTTCGAATGCATTACAAATATTAAAGTCGTATGTAAGAATACAGAACCGTCTGTAGAGGATGATAGAATCATGTTGACGTCCTAAGGTGTCTATCTTCGTCTGATCCGCTTCCTTCAGAATTATTATCATCATTATCATCATCTTCGTCGTCATCTTCATCATCTCCTCTGGGTTTTTCGTTATTTTCTTTGGCATTTGGGTCTTTACAAGAACATTCTCCTGGTTTACAAAGATACGAACGGAAAACCCTTCTGTTACTAGTAGTCGATTGACAGCAGTCCCCTTCATCCCAGCGACAGTGGGCATTATTGTTCACCGCATCACACCAACCGTCTTTCATGTCCCCAATACGACAACTGGGAACACATCGCAACTTCGAGGGGTCTGGGAACCAGTCAAGTTTCATAGTGCATTTTAAAGACACTTGCCAATTACCTTCGTCATCCTACAAAACGAATGAAAATGCGTTACTATGGCTTTTCAGTGCAGTACATGTAGATTGGCAGGGGGTTCACTATTCCTCTATTCAAAAACCAGCAACGCTCATAGTAACATTTCCCACAACCATTCTCCCACAATTTATGATGCAAATGGACTGAGTAGAGTCCAATACGGTCTCTGATCATACGAGTGATTAACAAAACTAAAAGGGACGCTGACTTCCGATTTGCTAATCACGAATATAATTACAGACAGAATTGGACGAAAAGAAGTCTGTTTACCCAGTAATCAAAACTACATGTCAGTCAGCATTTGAGAAACAAACTAACCATCGATTATACGTTTTCATTTAGAAGAAAATAACAACAGTTAACTCGGAAAATGCAAGGCAAAGGCGTACACCAACGCATAGACTAATGAAGATAAGGTTGATCTTCGCAGTAATGACTAAGAGACTAATAGTGGTTAAAGCTTTTCGGAATCTGATTACTAAATTTTAGCCTGGAACATAATCAAAGATACGAAAGGAAAGATCAGGCAAAGTCAAGCAAAAGAGAAAACATAACATTGTGAAATGCGACACTTACAGGGTCCACAACATCATTCGTGGCAGTTTCGCATCTGGAATTGCATGTGTCTCCAGGGAAGTTTTCATTGCAAAGGAAGATGATCCCTTTCGCTTCAGGCTTTGAACACCGACCAGCTGTAATACAACGTTTTAGAGGTGCACTCCACTTTCCGGTTTCTTCACATTTGACTTGGTGAACCTGGACATAGGATTTGCCAAAAGAAAGTAAGATCAAGTTTCATGTTTAGCTCGAGTGCAAATATCGACATAAGGGTTTTCACATTTTATCATCCTTTTAAGGTTAAGAAATACATATATATTTCAATCCCAATTTCCATTCCTACACATTTTCGTTCCACCAAGGACTTTTTCAGGAGTCGTTTTGGCCACAACTGACCGAGTTGACCAGCGCAAAGACAACAGAGAGACTGGATTCAAAGCCGAATGCAAACGTGAATGTGAAAGAATAGATGACATTTTGGCGCAGTCATTTGCGCCACAAAAAAGCACCGAGACCGTTACAACCCTACACTACTACTTTATCGTTACATTCAGAGGGAAAAATATGCCAACAGATTTTAAGATAAAAAGTAGTGCGCACCTCTTGTCCTGGACAAAAACTCGTGCAAACACTACCCATGGCGTTACCATTGGAGCAATTATACCACATAGCCATCACAGAGATGGATGGACACTTGGTAGGTTCGCATACAGGCTGTGTCCACCGACCACTCTTAGTACAGCGCATCTTAAAGATTTTCCTCGCACCATCGCTCTCCTTCACACTATAGCCAGCCTTACACTGATATTTACAAGACGTGCCTGGAAACAGAGTTCTTTTGCCATCAGAACAGTCGTTCTCTCGAGGACGGCTGTTTGCTGGTGTTACAGGGTGTGGACACGTCATGACACAGTGCGCTGTTTGCGCGGACCACTTGCCGTCCTCTTCGCACGTCACGCTTCCTTCCCCTGCGCTCATTTTAGTCTGCTGCGCGCACTTTATATAGCATTTCTTACCAAACGTTTGACCATGTGGGCAATCTAAGAACAGATAGGTATACTGATGTTGAAGTCACAACAGGAGTGTGGAAAATAGGTTCTTAAAGTGCTCGTGGTCTACCCCCCTTCTCCAAACCTTCAATATAAAATCATCTTCAAGCAAGAAAACATCTTGCTTGCTACATTATCCCAATAGAACGTTACTTTCCTTGTGGTAAACCTGAGCCAGCGACCTTAATATCATGCTGAATATTAGGACTTGGTGTCAAATAACGAAGACATCCTGCCATGAAAATTCTGTGCATTCTTGTCAAACGATGATGCCAAAAGCAGTAAAGAAAGGAAAAGAGGCTAAATAAAAATAGTAAATCGAATTTCTGTCAGATGCTAAGCTTCACGAGTTGAATGACTTAGCTCAGTTCTGGCCACTTAAAAATCAATACGATAATCTTATCACCACTTTGTTCCCAGATTCTCTCTTTCTCTCCCAACCACCCTCAGGAACGAGAGAACCTGGGAATAGAGTTCACTGCATCAAAATTTTGACTTAATGAAACCACCCGATCCAAAAACAAAAATGATAATAGAGAATATGAGCCAAAAATGATTGACAGTTTTCATTACTAACCAGCCTTTCCGTTAGGGATTCTTGGAAGGCCACAGTTGACAGGCACACAAGCCCTGGTGATCCCTTCCCATTTCTTATCCAAACACATAATTTTGAAAGGCCTAAACGGTCGGTAACCTGGCTTACAAGTCACTGTACAAGTCTGCCCTTCCACGGTCCCCTCGCATTTGACGCTGCCATGCTTGACCACAGGTTTCTGACAGGATGGCCTCTCGCAGTTGTATTTGTGGCAGTGTTGTGTGTGGGGACTAAACACCTCGTCCGATTTGCATCTTGCCATCTCTACTACATCGAACTGCGCCCTAGAGCGCAGGGCCACGGCAGCTATACTGACCAAGGGAGACGTGAAGCTGATATTTACTTTACGGACGTAAAAGAATGGCTCTGTCATGTCATGATAAACTGGGATGACTTCTGGATTGGTCTTACATGAAACATTCGTCCTCTGGTTTCCCGCGGACATGACGCGGCCATTCGTGCCTATCAGCTCAACTTTGACGTTCTTGTCATGAAAATCATATTCTCCTTTACCTTCGGAGCCGAGGTAAAGCACTATTGCAGCGGGCACGACCGATCGGTTGAAGGTGAGCTCCAGCCAGTAGTTTCCATCCCTGAAGAGGGTGCCTCTTCCCTTGCAAGGACCCCATGCGAATTGATATTCTTTGTCAAAACTGCCCTGACAAACCTGTGTAAGGATGTGATAACTTTAATTAGTCTTCGCAAGAAAGACTAAAGAAAGATATTTCCCTGGTCAATACGTTTGAAATCGCCAAATTCATGGTTTATCTTCAAAATAACCTATTGCCCCCATTGCTTCTCAGTCTTCCTGTAACAAATAGCCAAATTCACCGCTATGGCACTAGAATAGCCCGTAATTTGGAACTTCCTTCATGTATTAGTCACTCGTTCGTCAAGTCTTCTTAGCTTAAAGAGGAATATGCTCAAGTTTTTACTAAAATAACCACTTAATTGGGCATGCCGCACATTCGCGGCACTTATTTTTTCAAATACACATATATTATTGAAAGTGAGGTGACCTCTCCCATTAGCCTAGTGGTTTCTTGAGGTCTTCTCGCCTCCCTGTCACGGTGCTGTAAATTTATTTATCGTTACTGTTGATAAAATAGCAGATAAATGATGATGATGACATTGTAATTCGTTACCAGGTCAAAAGGCGGTGGTCCCAGGACGACGCTTTCCGGGGGGCACTTGCTCTCGCGGTAATTGGGATTAACTGTCACTGATACAGCCCACTGATCTTCAAATCCTTCAGGAGTGTAGAACCCACAGTCCTTGATGCTGGTTTTTTTCTCAAATTGTTCACATATTCCGTCTCCATCATGGCGATAGCACAAACTTGGATGACCTGGAAAAGTTCAATCTTGTCAGTTCCAAACACGACCCAAGGATTACGATGGTTCTATAGCTATCGTTTGTTATGACCATCAAATGGATAAGGGAGGACTTGATGTTACCGTAACTTATAATTTAAGCGTCAAATCATTAATTAAATCTCTTCTTACTTTCATTGGCACTGAGAGGCAATACATCAAAATTCCTTCTAATGATTAAGGTAATGCAATTTCACACTCTATGACCGATAATGTTCAAAGTTGCACTTCGTATGTAGTCTCATTTGTAAACGATACGAAGTTAGTCTAAGTGCCAGCTCTAAGGCGTGAGATATCCAACAATGGAGCGCGATACATCGAAGCATTGAAAAATAAACCTTGTCAAGCTTTAAAACAAAGCGCTTGAAAATTTTTAGGGACAAGTATTTCTCACATCCCGAAAATAAAGATAAAACATTCACATCGCGAACAGTGCTGTGAAGTACATACACAAAAACATGGCATTCACAATCCCGAAGGATTTTAGTAATATTCCAAAAATGATAACAATCCTATTTTTCCACCCGTGACTAAGCTCTAAGAAAGCGAATGTTGTTTTCAGTGACATTCAAGTGGATTATTTCCTTCCTCTCAGCAAAAGCGCGTCTTTAAGTAAAATAATTGTAACTCTAGTAGTTGAAAAAATAGCTCTAAAAATAGATTTAAGGGCTTATCACAAAAAACCTTCTAAATTAAGTGGGTGGTTAGGGAAAATGTGTGCAACTCCCGGGTGATTTAGTTACGAGGACAATGGGAAAAAATCGGAGAGTTTACTACTAAAATTAGGAATTCTTTTGCTAAAACCTATTCTACATACACACCCACAAGCAATTGTTTTTGGAGCCGATCCACCGCGTGGGGCATAAATCTCTATCACAGTTCCATTCAAACTGTTTCTAGGTATTCAAGCAAGCCCTTTTTTCATCCGATTATAAAATACTGATCACCGTGTGATCTTTTGTTAGACGAAGTTGAAAAGAGGAGTTAATCTGTTCATTCTGTAATTTCAACCATAACTCTAAATCTTAAGCTTTTCTCTTACAAGATCAACTAATTGCCCTTGTTCACATCGTACTCTGCTTCGTTAGCTTTTCATGAGGCTAAAGGTTTTGTTACCTTTAAACATGATCACCTGACCACAGATGTTCAAAGGGCAGATGACGGTATCCAACGGTTAAATCACTCTCTAACGAATAAGTGTCGACAAAACTTTCCGCACTATCAATCCGATGGACATTTATCTAGTGGATAGCTTTATGCGCCCTTCGAAAATTAATTAACTTTCTGGCCTCTTTTCAAGCATTTAGTCTGTAAGCGGCGCGCGTTAGAACTTCAGAGCGAACAAAGAGGGAAACCTTTCTCCCTTCTACGCCCAACGCCACTGACGCCCCGGTTTACTATTTTCGTAGTTCTATTAACTTTCTCAGCTCTCACTACCTACTTGCTTGAATTTTTTATGGAAAAAATTTACAAACTGGGAGTCAAAAAGAAAGTTTTTGCAGACTTGAAAGGGCGAGACAAAGTACGGGCAACAAAAAATGAGCGTGCAGGATACTCCAGTGCTGAATTTTTTGATCACTTTTGCGAGAATACCTCGCGACCGCCAGACAAAGTTGAGCATCTTTATTATCTAAAATAAGATCTTTTCAAAAATAAGAACAGTTCCAATTTCTTCAAACGATAATGTCCCAGAATATCATGGACAAAACCTTTGTAACTGCGTGGCTGGCAATTGTGTGTGTACAAAAGCAATGAGCGGCCAGAGGTTTGAGGCGGAGATTTTTTCTGCTCGCTGCTTCACTACTCGTCTGTTCGCGCACACAAAACCGCCAGCTACAAAGGATAAACTGGTCTTTGCCATCACTTGTCGACTAAATTCCTGAAGACCACCTTGTTGATTTCGGACAGTGTGTGCATGTCTAAGCTAATCAAAAACGTAGTCATTAGCTAAGACTTTAAGCCGGAAGAGATCCATTTAAAACACTGGATTGCGTTCCATCCTTGTATATATTTCAAAGTTCTGCTCTTCTCAAAATCTGTTTTAGAAATTCTAAGAAAATGATGAGCAAACAGTCCAAGTGCAACAGCTGGCACAACTCAAAGGTATACAAACGACGATAAGTATTTGAGATAAAGTCGTTAGGAAAAATCCTGGTAAGAGATACCTGATGAATTAAGCTGAAGAAATGAAAATAGCTTTCAGCCCGTGAATCTTGAGATCACATTTCAGAAATACAGATTATCATTTTTCTTTCTTAGTTTTTTGTGTTGTTTTGTTTTGTTTTGTTTTTGTTTTGATTTTTTTGTTTTTTTGTTTTTTTGTTTTGCAGTGACCGTCTCTTGAAGTAGGTAGAGAAACACTTTGTTGCAAGCATCCTGGCACGTATTCATTGCATGTAAAATCACACAAAAAGCTTCTGTTATCTTTATCTAAGCTTCTTATTGGCTTATTCTGTTATCCTGGCATAATTTTTCTTTCGAGTTTCAGTTCACCTTAATACGTGCTCATATGAGCTTTTAGGTCTCAGTTCAGTTCGATTAAATTGACTAATCGGAGGGACTCGAGGAGCTCGCAGATGATGGATGATTAGGTTCCTAACCTTTACGTGAAGGGCCTATTTAAATGGAAGGGGAGAAAAAAGGCTCTTTTTTAAGACTAGGTGCTAAGCCTGAAACGCTTTCTCTTTCGTAAGAATCAGCGACTAATTTTAACGTGTTTGCACTACAAATGATTTGGGTGGGCAGAGTGTTGTCAAAACTGAAGATTTTAGGATTATTTCATAGATATACTATCTTGTTATATTTAATCGACAAGCAAAGATTACGCTTCATTTAAATTCCATAAAAAACGGCGGCGAAGATACGTCCACCAATTAACGTAATGCGATTTCACACTCGAAGATTTTCCCGCAAAGTTCAAAGCTCAATTGCAGTTTTCCTTGCCCTTTTCTTCAGCTCAGCCTTTGAAGGCCCTGCCCTTTCATATGCCCCTTGTACAGAGCAGAGCGCCCTTTCAAGAGTATCATCGCCGTAAAACTAACCGTTAGATGTACCCAGCCCCCTACTCTTCCAACATTTAGCTCAAAATCTCGTAATACAATTCAATTCGAACACAAATTTAATTTCTGGCAAAAAATCAACTCGCGGTCGTCAAACTTTTTCAAATGTCAGAACACAATCAATTAGTCGCTAAGAAATCGGAAAACGCAAGGAAACGATTATTGATAAGTGTTTACATCGGAGGCCAGAAATATATCAGAGTCGGAAAATTCAAAGCATTCTTTGTGAAAAGAGCTTATGAATTTGTTTTACCTACTCCATATGTTTTGATAGTCTCTTGCTGGCACCATGTCCGAGATTGAAATCAATCACATCCCGAGGACCTCAGCGATGAAACAGCAAGCACAAGGCAAAATGATACGTTCGTTGAAAAAAATAAGTGATAGTTTTTTAATAAGTTTCCAATTTAAAGGAAAAGAAAAGATTGCTTGACAGGCTAGATTGCATATCACTATGCCATCACTCAATGGCAAGCTTTCGGTAAAAGTGTCTCCTCTATTTTCGGAAATCTCCACTAATCTGTGGATAACTAAGATAACACACTATTAAGTCAGCCCTAGATGAAAGATGGATTTTGAACCGCAGAACTTTAGCAACCTATGAAACGTAATCTGAGACAAAAATAGAATATACAGTGAAGACTAGTTTATAACACCAAAACCAAACCATGGTTCAGAACTTTACGCGTGCGTCAATTGGCCGAATCACAAATATTCTACTCCACTTCATTGTAAAATCTGTCCCCTATATAAGATGATTTATCAACACTCTATAAAAACAGAATCTTCAGTATTTACTCTCGTAGCACGCTTGCTTGAAATATATCTTCCAAACTGGGAGAAAATGTACATTGATGCTTACTCACCTGTACAATGAAACACGTCTTCTTTCTTACACTGCATGTTACAGCCATCGGCGTCCCGTAGGTTTCCGTCATCGCACTCTTCGCCAATACTTTTGTCAACCTTGCCGTCTCCGCAAAAGCCTTGCCCAGGCAAGTACAGCAAGGGAGGAGAAGGTGGACCTGTAAGACCTTGACTTGTTACAGCTTGGACCGTGTAGGTGTACTCCTGCCCTGGTTCCAGGTAACTGAGGAAAGAGAACAATTGTGACTGAGTGCATCATCGAATATAAATCTCTTCAGCTGCTCGCCAGTCATTGTTTCAGTTAGTTTTACCTCATCTTCCTTTGAAAATTTATCATTTATCTATTTTACCAATGATTTGAATATTAATTTCCGTGAGGCGTGGGAGAAAATAATCGTGTCTTGTATAAACTTTCTATAGTATTATCCCCAAAATAAGTCGAGGTAACGGCGAGGAAAACGTACGAAAAGCACAGAAACCGTTTTGCTTGATGTACTTTCTTCCTGAAGTTATGGATGCTAATGTGAGTACATTACTATGAAATCAACCTAAGGGCAACAAAGTATACACGTAGATCTGGGAAAATTTAAGAAAGAAACAATCCAACATATGATAATTCGTTTGAATATAAAAACAGATATCTGTTCCCAATCAGAACTTAAAAAGAGTCACTCCTTAGAATTCGTAAGACTATAACGCTCATCTACCTCACTTATTATCAAACATTTTTTACGAATATGGGATCTATCTTCCCAGCAATGAACACTACATAAGGAGTAGTGAAAATAAAAATTCAGGCCCGTACTGGATTTGAAATCATGACCTCTGCGATACCGGTGGAGTGCTCTACCAACCGAGCTAACAAGCCAACTGAGAGCAGGTCATTATGTTAGTTCCAAGTAAACCCATGGGGTGATGAATAAATGACTGTAAATATATGAAAAACATATATGTGAACTGCAGATAAAGAAATGAATATATAAGTGCTCTTTGGGGTAATGAACAGTACTTAAACAGTAGTAAAAATAAGGCTACTGCTTAAGTAGTGTTCATTACTGCGAAGATCGCTTCCACATTCATTTCTTTATCCACAGTTCTCATTTATGTATTTCATATTTTTACAGTCACTGAAACATTTTCATGTTGGCTAGTAACGAGAATTTGTTGTTAGATCCAAACAATGTCTATTACATCTCATTACATGTATGCTTAGTCATTTCACTCCTAAGATCTTTTCAGTAACCCTCCACACTGTCTGCCATACATTGTTTTATAATTTCAGTTGCGAGAATCTAGTATTGGATCAAATAATAACCCCCATAATTAATAACAGTTTTTTGATAATCTCATCACCTGTCTGCCTGATATTGTAATGAGAAAGTATGTCTTGGTTTCATTACTGGGATGAAAGGTTTAACCATTTAACTCCCAAGATCTCATTAGTAATTCTCCTTACTGTCTGCAATACAGTTCTGGTGATGTTAGTTTGGAGAATTTGGTATTGGATCACCTTATGATCCCCTTACTGATATTTTTTTTTATTCTCATCACCTGTCTGCTTGATATTGTAAGGAGAAATTCTGTCTTGGTCACTCATGGGAATTAAAGGGTTAGCAGTGTAATATTTGGAGGAGGGAGGAAAATAGACATATTAATCACTCCAAGGGGTTGAAGAATTAGGACTCATGACAAAATATTTACCTGTCTTCAAACTGGGTGGTATCCACAGGCACTGAAGAACCTTCTGGAAAGGGTGGATCTCTAGTCACCAAGTACTTCATGGGATCACATTTGAGGCAGTTTGGATGATCAACAGACGAGGTTAGCTGAATGGCATCAATGACAGTCGATATTTCCTTCTTCAGGTAGATTCTAACATTTGAAATCTTCTTGGTTAATGAGTAGGGTGTTAAAGGAATTGTAAGGGGTGCATCACACTGTGCTGTAAAGTGTCCCAGCGACAACTTTGAACCATCCGCAAAGATTAACTGTATGTCGGTAATTCCATCCTTAGAGGAAAACAGTACCCATACAGAGAGTTTAGTTGGAATAACAGCTTCCTTGAATCCAAACTCGATAAACGTTTCCGAACACTGCGTACGGAAGGGACTCCACCCCACGACGCTCATGATGCAAGGCTTAGCTACATCTGGGGCACCAATGGCCTGATGCGGAGCCCAATATCCATTGGGACGGGAGGGACAGGGGCTCCACGCACTTACAGCATATTGCTGAAATACTTTGTCCTCGCGGCACTCATGGCAACCCTTAAGCGCATTTCCTCCTCCAGTTCCTAGCGGTGGTATCCAGGTCAGCTTGACGGTGTCCTTCGTTTTAGATGTTACGCGTGGAGGAATGGGGATGAACGAAGGTGTTGTCTTGGCGCCCTGCCATGACTGATGGATCAAATCAATGTAGCAGTGCATTCGAGCCACTTGTTGTTCTGAGAACGAATCGGTGCAGGAGTCATCTGTGTAACTCATGTAGTTTGAAAAAGGAGTGTCCACGAACTTCCTGACTCCGCACGTCCTTTCCGATTTGTTAACAACGGGATCTCGACACTGGTTGTTAGCTGGGGTGGGGTTAGTGTCAGAGCATAAATCACCCAACTCGAGTGAAGGGAAAGTCTCAGCACAATCATCTGTGCAATCTAAATCAGTCACCCCGTAATGTACGTGCCACAAGCCTAACATGTGACCAAACTCGTGAACAAGGGCATCCAGATGCTGTTTGCGACCGAAATTCTTCAGGCCCAGAATGGTACCACCATATATACTATGCACGGATTTGTCCCAAGGAAAAGTGGCCAGGCCTTGTAAGTCGTCATTACTCCACTGAGCCAGGTAAACGTTCAAGTAATCTTGATTGTCTAGATTGACCATAGTCTTGTACTCTCTCTCGCTCATGTACGCTCTGTTTGGAGAACTAGGATCGAAGCAAGTTTTATAAATGTCTGTTACACTCTCGTTACAACAATCACCATCATCCCATGCGTTGTAGAATTTGTTGCATTCTAAGTCGCAAATGCCATTCCCGCGCTTTTTGGCGTCACATCTGATTTTTGGATCATCACAGTCGCCGCCGTCATTTCCCGTAATTTCGTAATTGCAATGCTGTTTATTGCAGCGCGAATCGCCAATCTTTTCGCGTTCACACTGGTATGTCACCGTGCGCCGTCGTAAGGAGGTGTTTCGGATGTTCCATTCGCTAAGTTGAAATGTGATGTTGTACCGCTTGAAAGCTCGGTTTAGATGAGCGTGCTGCGCTTTCAACTGTTTCTTGGTCACCATAGGATTGGTGCCGTCATCTTCCATTATATTAACAACTCGATATCGCACAACCTTTTTTCCTCGCAGGTGCTTATTTTTCACATAACTGCGGATAATCTCACGATTGTCACATACTGTTACACCACACGGGGGTTTAACGATCGAAAAATCGTTGGCATCGCCTGGGATAGTTGACTGCAAAATGTTCGGTTTTCCAAGAACAGTCACCCATCTGGTCTTTGGATTGCGATTGAGTTTTTCCTTTTCGGCGAAACTTTCGTACATTGCAAGATTAAGATCATCAAGATATGGTTCTTTATCTCTAATCGGGGCAAAAACATTCTTGATGATTTCCTTGTGTGATTTCGCAACTGACCACAGTCGAACCTCATCGATCAAACCGCGATAAAACATTCCGGTTGAGTGATCGCCCCCCGCCTCTAAGTGCTCACAGGGGTAAGAGTCGAAGCCGTCGGCGAAAATGTGTCCGCTCTGTTCCGAAGACACTCCAACTTTGGCTTGATTTACGTACAATTTCATTTTCTTTCCATTAAATGTTGCTGCAACATGAAGCCATACGTTTGGTTCCACGCTGCGCGGAGAAAGCAGTTTCGTGTCGTTATCTGATCTTTGCGTTCGTAGTCTAAAAAAAACTCTTAGGCTTCGCTCAGTACTTGCCTCTTCCAGGCCTATCGCCCAACCACCGTCTTTTTTGTCCGGCGAACAGTCATCAAACAGACCGAGGACTGTCACCGGCGATACCTGGCCACCTTCGGGTCTCATCCAAAAGTCTACTGTGAACTGATGCGATGGTATTTTGACGCTTCCTGTAAATCGCACTACTGCGTCATCAAGTAAACTCAGAGCATTTCCAAATTGCGACCCCGTTGGCGGAGATTGTGGAAACCGTGCGTGATCATGGCGTTTAACACGTCGCTTTGAAGCGCAGTCAGAGCGATGCTTGTCCTCTTCGGCCTCAGCAGCTTTCATGGCATTTAAAATGACGCTATTTCCATGTACCATCTCTATTTTCATTACAAAGTGTAATAAGAACACCAGCGACGTAAGAAGTAGAATCTTATTGCCGCGATCTCCCATTTTCAGCGCGTTGTCAAACAAATCTTCTTCGCTCCAAGCGTTGTCTTTTCCTCCCTGTACGTCACCGGTGAATAATCCTTCGAGATTACAGCACACGACCTTTATGCCCCGTATCTTTCTCCTAAGGCGATAAAGTAAACAGATAGATATTGTTTCTGCTGATTGTAAATCAGGCTATTTGTCAGCCGATCATGACACAAATGATCCTCTGCGGTGAGCTTAATTAATACTTGCGCGCGTAAAATGCGTAGCTAAACGTGTCCACAGCGAAAGTTAAACGCGCTACAAATGAAACTAAACCACTCTCGATCGCTGAAACAGGCCGAAATTTCGGCTTCACACGTAAGGGTATTTTGATTGACATGGGGTTAACCCCAGGAAACGGAAATCGCTCACGTAGTCCATATCGCAAGCTCTCAGGGTGCGGTGTACTTTTCGCATTATTGTTTGCCAATGAAAATGTGTTATGCAAATAATTTATTTGCTGAGGCTCGCCTTCAAAAGAATTACCTATTGTTCAGCGACACTTCCAGTGACAGCGCTTGCATGGGCTACCAGTTCTGCGCTATCGGTTTTGAGCACAGACGGATTTAAATCACTTGACTTATTTCATATGAAGAAAGAGGATTAGGTCTAGACAATAACTTATCTTTACATATCAGAGAAGGTCGATTTTTCTGACAGCGTATACCCAGTACAAGTGAAAGGGTCACTTCGATCAGAATCTTTATCATCCATTTTCAGCATTACCAATGTTAGTTCGAATGTAAGTTGTTATGAAAAAAACCGAGGTGTATATGTGAAGACAAGATTAGAAACGCAGCTTAATAGAGACGCAAACAGTAAGCATCCAGGGCGGTCAAATACAAAGGACATGATCCGAAGATAATTAGCTAATTACAAGATGATAAAATTTGACAAATGTGGTTTACCTGGACCCACCAGAGTTTGTTGTCGTAAACTTGCGAAAAACATTAGCTCACCTTTACTACAAAAGGCAACTGTCGTGCTTTTAGAGAGTAAAGCACACACCGCTAAGGGACTGGTGATCCAAAACAGTTCATTCTTTCATCGCTTTTAAACGCGAAGATATCGAAATTACAAGGTTAATGGACAGAAGTTTTCAAGCAACAAAAAGAACTTAAAAAAGATATACAAATATAATTCATTTTTGGTATCGTTGTCACCAATGCCAAGGTGACTATGATTTTCTAGGTGTAAAAAGAATCCTTCCTCTCGCAGATTAGAACTTCAGTGAACCCGCGACCTTGTGGCTAAGACAATTTACGGCTTCGGCTTTCGCAGTTTCCTGTAAATCTTAACCAAAGTGAAAGTTAATGAAAGATTGGGAATAACACGATTTACTATCAATTTAAAAGCCTGACATTCTGAATATTCCCCTGGTTTCTTAAACGAGACAAAGTTATCTAATTAACGCGTGATATAGTTATTTCGCGTGACAGGAAGTCGCTTGAGGCCAAACCGCGTGACTGGATCTAACCGGGAACTTTAGCGAAGCACTCCGGTGAAAGAACAACTACCCGAGAAAATTGTATACGACGCGTTTGTTTTTGCAACAACTTCCCCCGGACTGTGGCGTGAACTATAAATAAACCACCAGGGAGGTAATTCGAGTCAAAATCCTCACCTTCGGAGAACACTCCTAGAAATCACGTGTCGAGGTTAGCTATGCCAAACGAAAATAAATAGACGTGATGTCGGAAAAAGTAAATAAATGAAAAGAGGAACACGAACGTCAAAACCAGAATGGCGGAAAAAAGTGTTAGTTGCATTCCACTGGAGTCCAAAAGTGGATGATTCACGGTTACGTAATGCTTAGATACACAAGACTTGGCGACATTTTTCTTCTCATCTAAGGAAAAATAAGTACTAGCGACGAAAACAAGCAGCTTAAACCACAAAGATACAAGTTCAAGTGCTTTTGGTTTGGGGGGGTATTTTGCCTTTTTAACCAAAGTTTCTTCTAGAGATTACCGATAGCATTAGCTGTCACGTAGGAAAAGGAGAAAGAGAATTGAAGTGCTTTATCATCACTCTAAGCGTCACTCTCAGTCTCGTGGAGGAATCAACCACTTTGTGACCCTCAGTAATTCTGTTCACGGGATCTGAGGACCGTTTTCCAAACTCAACTAAATTTTCGCTTGTTGTCATTGATAACGAACTTTGAACCATTTTAAATTGCATTTGCAGGACTGAGTTTGTTTGTATCTTATTACAAGAGCCTTCTACAGCTTCTTTATGAAAAAAAAAAAGTCAAAATTGAATTTTAAATAAAGTGGCCTAAAATGGCCTCTACCGGGGAACTCACAGGGTACCTAGGCCACTTTCCTGTTTCAAATGCGACACACGTGCTACATACTGCAGGGATCAGTGATGTCGAAAGCGCCCTGTTTGGAAACGGATTATAAATGATGTCCAAGGTATTCAATTTTAAGCGCGGTCTGACAAATAAATAATATATGTGAACCATTTTTGAATGCAGAAAATTGCATTCGAATCCGCCGTGAAGATTTGTCGGACCCCATTGTCGTTGTGACTTGTTTTTATATATATATCAAACAACTTTATTCTCAATTAGCTACGTGATCTGATATTTTGAGAAATTGTGCTAATTTGCACATTATGCAATTTAACCAGCCTTCACTTCTAGAAAAAGGTTCAAGTATTATTCTAAACTTTTAGTAAGAATCAAGAGAAGATAGTTAACCTTGAGAAAGAGAATACCTTTACAAAACCTTGTACTTGGTTGGTTCTTATCCTGCCCTCCTCTGTTCGCTCCGCGCGTCGACCCCGAAATTCTTTCGTCCTGGCTAAACCTCCGTTAATAAGAGAGAGGAGTAACACCCTTGAGCTTTTCGGCTTACGTCAGCGAAAGGGTCAAATATCTTTTCTTTTAAGTTATATCAGGGGTAGGGTTAAGATTACGCCAGAGATTATACATCTCAGTTCAAAAGATGATAAATTTGCTGTTAAACCAAAAACTGCAATTGTTCAAACTTCATGAAATACTTTGTTTAATACAAGAAATTCACTCATCTCCAATCAGTCATTTTCCTCTTTGGCTGATTCTGACCTTTTCGTGTTTTTCCCTGTTTACTGGATGATCACGTGGGACACCCGACACGGATGAGTGGGGATGTATTTAGGCTTCTCGAAGGATTCACTCACACAAAAACATATCTGCTATTCGATTCAATGATAACATATCACTTGGCAATGAATTTATTTCGATATGAGTGTCAATCATCTCAAAGTCGTTACATGTGTTTGGACATGAGCTTGAATGACTGACCTGGGTAGAATACATCAAATTGAGGTTCACTGGTTAACTTTTAGCATGAATAGCACAAAAGCAAACAAGACCTGCGTTCGTGGTTTGATCAGTTTCTGAGAGGCTTTCCACGATTATAACAAGAGCTCATCAGGAACGTTTTTTATTGTTGGGGGAGGGGAACGGGTGGTAGGGGCAAGCAGGATTTTGCGTGTCTAGTTTGTCACTTCACGTATCACTTAATATGTCAAGAAGTTTACAGATTTGCCTCGAAATGGTGTACTCGACCCAGTTTCTTCGCAACCATCCAAAGATTCGAGCGTGGGCTATTTCTATATGGTTACAGTCAGCCATCGAAAAATACCAGTTCATGTGCGCTGTAGCATTGAGAGCTCTCGTCTCCCTTAACGCACGTCGGAAAAGTTGGCACACATTTTCTTCGTTCATCAGTATGAATCGGTGTTAATCCTCTCTATCTTGAACCATTCTTATTCCCCTATGTCTCGCTGGTTTAAATGTAAGTTCACAAAAGCGACGACTTCAACGCCCCCCCCCCCAAAAAAAAAAAAAAAAAAGCAACAACAACAACAACAACAACAACAACAACTCAGAGCGCGTTATGACTTGCCTCTTTCGAAATAAAAAATTTTGACCGATAATTCACTGATTGGCTTATCTTGCGATAAGGCTGGTTTTCTCATCCGCGATATATCAATCCCTTTTTATTTTCGCATATAATATCGTTTCCTGGATTGCCGAAAATCTGCCGAAAAGGGCGTGATTGTTTGGAGAAAGATAAATCGTGTAGACATTTATCCCAGAGTGTTTTCTAGACATCAATGTTACCTCATGCTGAGAAGATTTTTAATTTACGAGAATAAAAACAAATGTAATTTTCAAGCATCCGGCTTAATTCAACATAATTGTGAATGATACGGAAACCAATGCATCTATCATTTTCTAGAGGCCTGATTTAATGCTAGGAGATATGCTCCACAGGGGGCTAGAAGATACAACTTTATATAAAGTATTTTGAAAGCACAAATTACGCTATTACACGGAAAAACCATCGCACTTTAGCTGTCGTATCGTGTGCCAAAATTATCTTGTTGATTTTCGTTGACGTTTACATGAGAAATGTAGACTAATACAAAAGCTAAAGATCTTAACACAGCTATTTTTAGCTTATCGAATAAAATCCCTCCCCTTTTTTTATTCAAAACTATTTTTTACATGTTCTCATCAACACCAAAAGATTAAGAAAACTCTGATCTTACAAAACCAAAGCGAAAAACGCTATATTTTAGAATTTTAGTACAGTATACCAGATCCTTTTGCAGATATCAAGAACACGACGTTTTCAAGAATGTATGGAATTCATCAAATTTTGATAGGCTTTACGTCACTAGATAATGTTTGCTAAAAGCTAATTATTGAACAGATTACACAAGAAAATCAGCTTTCCCGCGTTGGGATTCGTTTCGGGAAAAATTTTCCAGAGGCATGCATGGAAAAACAGATGAGAACGAGATGGAAATTCACCTACTGGTTTTACAATGAACACTGTAGAGTTAAGATTTGAAAAGACTTTTCCGTTCACCCTTAAAATCAATTCTCTGAGCCTGATGAATGTCATATTTCAGACTGAATAAACTCCATATTTGGCGGTGAGAACGACTCGCTTTGGGTGTGGTCGTTAGGTCGCTTTGCATTTACAGCAACTGACGTGCTACGTAAGAGAGCAACACGAAGCGATAAAATCAATGTCAGTGTTAATAGACAGCTGTAGGATTTTAATCTAGAGCTTTTAATCTTTGTGTGCAAGAATGATTATCAACATTTATGAAAGGATTTTGGCGCAAAATAATCTGAAAATCTGATGATTAGTGTGAATTAATGCAACTCGATTCAGATCATAAACAGCCGTGGTATTGCTTTCAAGCCTGATGTTTTAACAACCCCTGGTGTGAGGAAGCAGATAAGACTCAGAAGAACATAATTACTTAAATATTCCCTGTCTAAAGATACTGCTGGATTGATGTTTAACCATTAAATTCCCAGACTCTAACGTAAATTTCGTGATTTCAACTTAAATTACTGAGGACTAAGGTTGGCCCTAAATCAAGATCAAGCCCTTTTATTGATTATTTGTCTGTTCGCGTCGCCTGTTCACTGGATAATGCCACAGTGGCGGCAAAAAGACAAAACTTTTTTCAAGATTAAATAATGTAAGAATGTGTCCAACGGAAATTAGCTTGCCTAACAATCAAGTCGGAAGGAAACACTTACATATAGATGTGAGAGGACTACAATGAGATCAAATGAAACAACAGCGAAAAACTGTTTAAAACACAGCTAATTTAAAGCTCGTAGGGAGTAAATATGCGAATGAAAAGCTGATTGATCAAGCATAATACTGACAACAGACATGCATCGATCTTTTCCTCGAAAGGTTTTTGGGAAGAGAGCAAAAATTGAGTTCGAGCCAGTTCTATCAAAGAATGAAGTTCAAGATTCAACTTTGATCCGTAAACACAGAAGACTTGAAGGGCGAAGAAGCTTGTGCAGCTGGATGTAAAAACTTTCTGAGATCGCGTGAATAGTTTTGAAAATCAGCCATAGATAAAATCAGGTATCGTGCTAATTACTTCTGTTGGAGCGTTCGGAAAACGCGTGTAACTTGTCAAGCATCTTTGTCTTGGTTCTCCATTTACACCAGACAAACCGAGATTTTCAGTCGAATAATTTCAGCCCTATTTGCAATATACGCTAAAATCAAACGTTTGAGAAGCTCAACCCTCGGCTACCTTCTCTTAGTTAAAACATCCAATGAAAAACACATTGAGAAGGCCTCAGAAAATCCTTTTACCCAGTTTTCAGCGAAGCTATCTTGGTCAAGCACACTTCAGAAAAACACTTAAGTATAATCAATAAAACGTTGAAACATACTAGTTATACCCTCAGATACCATTGTTGTAATCCTACTGGAGAGCTGGCAAGTTGAACGATGATCTATGGGTTTTTTATTGATATGTTTTGATTTAGGCTTGTACACAGACGATGTGGAAGATTTTCATCTCTTCCTTTAAGCTCCCGGAAGACTCTTGAAACTGCTCCATATCTTTCCTTTTGCTTAACCTCGGCACGAGCCAACTTAAAACTTCACTGAAGTAAGAAGTAGCCATTCACTCCATTATAATTCAAATTATCTTAAAAGCCACTACCAGGAGCAAGTGACACAGAAAAAAATTAGTGATCACTCAATCGAACATGTGATGCGTGCACAAGTTTAGATTTCATTCTTGATATTTCCTTCAACCACATTGTGACTTTACTGTTCATTTGAAAGTGATTCTTGTTAAATGAACCTCATCTTCACTTGAAAATGTACCCCATTTGACTTAACAATGCTAAAATAAAAAACTTACCCTTTGCAGTTCATAAACAGTTTTGCGAAAACTTTTGGGCCGTGCTCACCCACTTGTGAATTTGGACAGCAACTGCCGGTAGATGCTTTCTATCTTAGGTGGCTTATGTAACTAATTTTCATTAAAAATTCTGATGCCCGGAATTTAAGATCCTGAAACGCCTATTATGGTTTTAAAATTTATGCTTGGTTTTAACCGGGCTAGAATGTGATTATATGATAAGATTATCTGGAAGAATTCTTATTTGGAAGAAGGTCGCATTTAGGTCAAGGATTGAGGAAAGCATAAATTTGCCGAAATGCTTAAACTGTTCAAGCTGCATTGGAGAACAGAGTTTCTTTTTTCAGACAATTGTGAAATAAGATTTATGTATGGTTTTTATATTAGCTCCAGAATATGCCCAACTCCACGATTAAAATATTTAAGCGGATGAAAGAGTTCAGAGGATTCTCAGGCAAAGCTGGAAACAGCATATGTGAGGAAAGAAGGCTAAAACGGAACATTTTTTTTAAATGGCAGTAGGAGGATTGTTTGGGAGTGTCGAGACGGAAAGGAGCTCAGTCGCTTTTAAATTGTACACAGACCATCAAATACTGAAACCTAATTGGACTAAAAAGATAGCGAGAGAGGTTGGCTGCCCGCCATCACTTGAATTGAGCAGAGGAACTGTAGGCAATTTTTTCAGATTAACTGTGATATCTATGTATTAGGAATTTCTAACATACTGCACATTAATTAGAGTGGTACAGAAAATCTGTTTGTTTGGCGCGACAGAAAACATGATATAACGGATAAAGCGATTACTTGTAAATGCACTCACAGTCAGCAATCACGGCTCCAATGTTCAGAGCACGTACGCAATAACATTTGACGACGGATCAATTAACCTCTGCTGAATAGAGCCTTATATGAAAAGGTGTCTGCCTCTGCGAATAAGAAATCATCTTTAAGACGTTAAGGCCTACCAACGGTTTATCTAGATCGTAATGACGCGAAAGGTTGACGACATGTGTAAACTTTGTTGCAACATACGAGCTGCGGATGTAATTTGCTATAAATACCCTCATGTTTAAAAATAATTGTGATAACTCCAGCAGTTATCCGGCTTTATATCCAGAGATATGAAGTAGAACAGAGGGAGAATTAGCATAAATATGCTCGGTAGAATCGTATGAAAGTACTGAATTGGTCCATAACCACTGCTAGATCAGGAAATCTCTTGTGTTCCCCCATTCCATATTAGGGAAGTGATCCAAAATATTGAACTTGCTTCCTGAACTGTATAGCAACACGCTAATAGATGCTAACCAAGGCAGAAATCCCGCAACATGACACTAAGATCGATGTAATCCAAGACTGAATACAAAGAGCGTGACCTCAATTTTTTAAAAAATAAAAATTATTATCTTTCACGTCAGTCAAGCCATACCCAATAGCCACACCTAGAAATAAGCACATTTTGTAACTTCAAGTTGTTGTTAATTAATCAGGGATGTTTAGTTGAGTAGCTGACTCTGAACAAAGTGTTATACGCTCATAAAGAACTCGTTCAGCAATTCCTATATCTCTCTTTGTTGTCAAACTGTCTTAAATAGCTTGAAACAAATGCGAGCCATGTTTGACGGAAATATTCCAAATCCTTTCATACCGTTTCAGGCATTCCTTCAGAAATCCTTGCTGTTTCATCGAATTTATAATCTCTTTGTCAAAATGTCGGCGCTAAGAATCAAAGCAGAGCCATATTTTTGGGGATATATCACACTTGCTCCCAATTTTGTCGCGGAGAAAGAACAAAGAGGAAGATACGCTTATGAATTTAGTTGTACATTCGCCTCGTCTATGGCTTGGTAATCAAGCGACGTGGCAAAAAATCTGGAAAAAAAACGGAGAGTGTTTAAGAGTGGAAAATGAAAGGATAGCTTCCGTTAGAGAAAAACAGAAAACACATCGTTTTGACACCGATCCATATTTAGAGAGACAAGACGAATTCCTAAAATAACGGATGGAAGGCCGCCATATTGTCTATGATTATGTGCGTGCACCATAAGAGAGGCAGAACTCATGCAAAACTATAAATGGCCAAACTGTACGACAAACTGATCCAATAGGCAGGATCTTATGATTGAGGTGAAAACTTAGACTCATGGAATATATTAACAAATGAAGTTAAAGAGATAGACAGAGGAAACGTGATGAACAGCAAACTGACAATGATATCTACAATAAGAAAAGACAGACAATAACAGGACAGTATACAAAGACAATATGTTTGACCATGTTTTTCCTTTGCACACCCTACTCAATGTGAATTAATTCCCAGATTGATCCTGATGATAAAATGTTTTAAATTGTCCTAAATCTGAAACAACAGCATCATAATCACCGAGCTCTTAAGAGAGAAGTAATGAAAGCGTCGTTTCAAGAAATATGAGGTGTAACATGCCCAGAGGACAAATAAATTTGATTTCGAGTGAAGAACACATACTTGAATAAACCGCCAGCAGACAAGAAACGACAGATATCAAGCCATAATATATACTAACTTGAGTTTGTTCCCAGATTGATCTTGAAGATAAAATGTTCTAAATGATCTCAAAATTTAAACAATAACAACAATATCGTAGTCACCGAGTTCTTGAAAGGGATCTATCAAAAGCGTTGTTTCTAGAAATATGAAGCGTTGAACAGAAAACGACTACTGAAGACGAAGAACAAATTTTGTATAAACTGTCAAAGAGCCTTTCAGCAACAAGAACTTGGGGACTATCAAGGCATAACATATTCTGACATGCTGATTTAAGTATGCTTGTCATACTTCCTTTTTAGCCTTATGGTTATTTTGGGCTTAAAGGTTGTTTACTTACCTAAATGGGAATTCTATCATGTTGACGTAAACAAGGTAAGTACGAACACGAACGAAGATGTTTCTTTTTTCGTTGGTGGAACACGAACAGGCTGCAAGTGGATGAACATTTCAGTTCGCTATTGGATCTCGAAGACTGTTGAATTCTTGTTTCGAAGGACAGAAGGCACGAGTAAAGCATGCTGGCTGCGCTTTTTATAACTAGCGCTATCTTTTAGTGAAAGAATTACACCTAAAACGTTTCGCATTGCTAAGGAGGCGCGTCTCAGCTTTGCTGCCGAAGGTTAAACCCAATGAACCTGAGACTAATTATGGTTCAGCTGTTGAATTGCTTTCCCTTTAGCGTTTGCTTTGGTTTATAAGACAGAGTTGTGTTAGCTAAAGATGAAAATAACAACTCAGACTTTCTCCTGCGGATAATAATAATACTGTTGTTGCTATCGCTATTTTAGGGCGGTTGCTAAGCCGGAATATGCAGCTAAGTGCTTCGGTTCTATCTAATTGCCCAACGTATGCGAAGAATTCCTAATTAGAAATTGATTAAGTAGTCCTGTTTGGACAGAGTGGTCGGGGTTTTTTCGATTTACAATACTGGTTTTACCTTGATTTGTTGTGCAGTTCTATCAGAGAAGTGTTAGCAGACACTGGTTATTTACGGCGCATGTGGTCAACCGTGTGCTTTTGTTTGTTGAAAATTAAAATCAGTAATAGTCATGCAACCATCACTCATCTACGTCAGTATCTTTAACCTTTTTTGAAGACTTAAAATTCCTGCAATTCTGATATAAAACTGACTCATTTACTGCCGATTTTTTCATGGCAAAGGGCCTTTCATGTTCGTTCATCGGGATTTGGCTCACTCAATTTCTCGCACACGTGCACCTTTTCAACATACTCTAACAGCATGTTAGTCACGGTATTTACTTTTTTTTTCTTTTAGCACCGAATGAACGTTTTTGTCTTCAACTTGCCCTGTTTAAGACGCTAGGCATGTCACGCATGCACGAGCACCTCCACTCTTGGAGGCGGTGACCTCCGTGCCCGTGAAAATTCAGACGATATCCGAAAGCGTGAGCGTTGACATCGATAGGGAAAACAAACGCGCACAAAACATGACAAATCGCATGAAAAACTAGAATGTCTATAATTCTAATGTCTGCAGCTGGTCATAAATCATGATTGACTGCGAAAAAATTCCAGTTCAAATAATGACATATAGCTGGAATTCCAGACTTCTGGTCCTTCTAAAATCTTGATCCGTAAAAAGTAAATTTTCACAAGTTCATCGCGGATTCCACAGGGAAATCTCAAACCTGAACATTACTTTAGGTGAGTTACCAAAACGATTTTCTGCCTTATGCAAGAACTGCATCAGTTCCCAACCACCGGCTGGTTAGCAGCAAGGTCATTTGCATGAGCATCAAAAGTGAGCCGTTCAAACGTGTTTTTAATACTAGACTAGACGAATTAATGTCGAAATATGTTCGAGACCGAACAACATGATATGTTGCTCGAGGACCTTTTAAAGAGTTTTGTTTCGGCCACATATGACTCGCAGCGCACACAGGGAGTCTTTAAAGAATTCATGATTAACAGCGAGATAAATTCGGTGTCAAGCGGCCAGACGAAATGGAGGAAAAGCTCGTCAGAAAAGGTCAACGAAAATGTTGGCAATGCTCTGATTGAAACCATTCCAAATGAACTACTGCGAGCCACTTTCAAAAAAAACAAAAGGTCTTAGACCTTTTTCGCTCCGAATAATCCTTGTATTGTTCTTGTTCTTTACCATTTTTCTCGAAGTTCCGCATTTAGGAAAGAATAGTCTAGATCCCTTACATATCCTTTTGGTCAGTTAAGACTTTTTCAGCATGATAAATTTCAGAGAAAGTACTTACAAGCCTTAGGTTCTATAACTTGGAAGGTCAAAGGAGGGTCGATTCTCTGTCCTGTGGCTTCTCTGGTGCGCCAGAGATAATTCTTTCCTCAGTTGGAGCTATTTGACAGTCTTCAGTCTAATTACACAGAGAGACACCAAAGCTAATTCAGTTACTAACTAGAGACTTCATTTGCAAGTCGCAAAACACGTTGTGGGCATCAAATTTTCTCCAAAGTGTTGTTGCTGATTTCCCAGTCTCCGTGGCGGCGGAGACTGCCGCCACCCTCGTCGCCTCAGTTCAAACACTTGTGCGCCAAATAGGAAAACTTAAATAAGTGATCATATATAGGAGTCTATAAACACTGGGCTTAGAAAGGCCCCCAGTAGACAGATTTGTGCTTGTTTAGATCAAAATAAGCAGGAATCATTTCGCAATCATCCATCCACGCCAATATGTTTAACCTTTTTTGAAGAATTAAAATTACTCCGTTTCAGTATAAGAATAAACTGACTGATAAACTGAAGATGATCTTTAAAAATTGGCCAAAAACCTGGCATGCATGTTCACCGGATTGCTTATCTTGCACTCTCCGGCGGTACCTGTTTACCAGTTCCTTACTTTTAGCAAGTGTTAGTCAGAGTGTTGAAGAATGTTTTTTTAGGAAGGTGTGGAGTTACCCTCAACACGAACAAGTTACATACAGACTGTAGTTTTAATAGGGTAAAAAAAAGAAGAAAAAAGTGAGAAAAAAAAAAGGACCGCTTGGGATGGAAACGAGTGGACTAAATTTGAAAAGAAGAACTAGAAAACGACAACTTATTCGATATAACGAAAGCGCAGCAGAACAACTTCTCAGCGACTTTTTATGAAGAATCTTCTGACTTTCTCTCAGGGAACCTTTTTAAAGCTGTATCTTTGTCATCTTCCCATTTATACTTCAAACAAACTCACCTTTCACAGTACTTAATCTTTATGATTACCGTTTTCGTTTGACTCACTCCATGCTGTAATTTTCAGTCTAAAAGCTCGAGTCTCGGTGTTCTGAATCCAACAAATTCTTTAACTGTGCTCAAGATTGACTGGCAGTGCAATAATCTCTTCATTAGCGATAGCACGTGATAAAGACATGCGATTATCGTGCTTTGTGAAAATGAAACTTCCGTTGCGGAATTCCGTTGGATTAGACACTGTCGAGATTAACAGTTAGCTTGACGCAAAGAAATGGAAGCGGGAAGTGTTTCAAACAAAAAAAACCGCCAAACAAAAATAAAACCAGATTCTTTTGAAAGTTAATCTTCCTTCACTCTTCCTGTATTTATCTTTAAGACTGCGTTTGATTGAATAGACCACCTCGCGATATTTTGGGAAAGATCAACACAGAGCAATTAAAAAATAAACTAAAAAGAAAAGGGAATGGTTTAAGATTGAGGAGATCATGAGAATCGCAAATGATGAACGTGAACAGATAATATTATCGCGTTTAATGCATTCAATGGCCTGACTCTGCATGGTGAGACAATCGGTTTAACGTTTCATTTATCTTGTGAACAGATATGTTACATTTTTCATGAAAATTTACATTAAAAGTAGAGATGACGAGCAATAAAAGGGGTTCATTTTCGAAAAAGACATACGTGCTTCTTACAGGATGAGGAACAACTACGCTCTAGTAATTGTTCCGCGGTGAAAATTTTTTGATTAGAGATCTAAATATTTCGTCAATAAAGGAAGGGGATCATTTTTCCGCATGCATCTACTAATTAAACTCTCAACTGCCGTTTGACTGCGAACATATAGACTGAACAACCTTTAGGAAAGTTAACAGTGAGTTAAGAATGATTGTTTTGTTCTTACCTACTACAGTTTAGAATTGATAAATTCAAGTATATTAATGAGGGCGTTATCTTCCGCCTCACGGACGTCAAAGTGAGTTCCATAAAAACTAGATTTACAAGCAGCATCGAGCGTAAGTTTCCTTCGCTGTTTTGACAGTTGCTCTGATCTTGAAAGTAAATATCCCTTTGGTATGTGGCCATGCCAAGTTTCCACTTGTCTAGAGGAACTCGTTTTTAAAGCCAATTAATTAACATTAAGGCTCTTTTGTGCTGTAGGTCGGGTTTGACGAGTTTCAAATTAGAGCGAACTTTGTAACTGCATGCATGTTTGTACTTCCGGTTCTTCATACATACGATGCTTCTATGGAAGTCAAAACGAACATCAAAGAGATTAAGTGTTTCATCCATATTATACTCAGAACGAGACAAGGATAGTGTTTACAAAAGTTTGTCCGAAGCGTCTTACATCCATGGTGATGCAGTTGTTTTATTTGCGTGGTAAGGAAAATTACGTGCATCTTTAACAGCCATTATTATGTTCTCTTCATTTGAGATTTTTTTTTGTGTAACTTAAACGGTCAATTGAAGGGGGGAACCTTTAGATGTAATACAATAATGTAAGTCGTAAGAATTATCCATAGGGGCATTTGATGATTGAGGATTAAGAAACACGGATTGCCGGCAGAAGACGAACTTAGAAAAGGAAGCGAAATTTTTAAGATATACGATACCTTTATGACGAAGATTCTTCACACCTACTTTCACTGTTTATATCTTCGCTAAGTTGCTCTTTGGCACGCAACTGAAGTTGTGTCTGTTAACCCTTTAACTCCCAAGATCTGATTGTTAATTCTCCCCTCTAGCTGCTACTTATTTCCTCGTAAATTAGTTACGATAACTTGATGTTAGATCAGGATGACAACTTCCTCCTGATAAGTATGAGTATTCTCATTACCTGTTTTCTGGATAATGTATAGATATTATTGGGAGAAGATGCATGTTGATCACTTCTGGGAGTTAAAGGGTTAAGAACCTCTCATATAACAGCTAATGGTGGCTAACTTGACTCTGATATTGTGCGATCAAAATGTGTAAACTCTCTTAATCTCCTCTCGTCCTTATACCTTATTCGAAAATGAGCTGTCCACTGGGTCTTTCTAGAAGGCGAAATTTTCTTCCAACTTGTTTCTTGGCGGCACGTGATCTAATCTCGTCAAAGTCTGTTTCTTTTCTCAGACTTCATTTTCTGAAATTTCTA